AGAGTAAGACTGGGTCTAATGTGATGTCATCCACATCTCTCTCCCATTGCCTAACCCAAGAAGGGGATTTAAATAAAGCATCTCTTCTATTATAATATGAGATTTGTAAGTATTCCCAGGGGATAAATAATGTAGCACTCCCCAGCATGGCAGGATGTTATTGACAGAAGAAAATGTCACCGAACCATAAACAAGACAGCCAGAAAAGACCACTGAAACCATCTAGTCTCACTTCCATAAATTTGATTGTACACCAGCTTCCAGATTTCACTCCTAAAACCACAACTCCCCCAAACTCTTGTTCTCGGCTTCCCCAGTATTATAGCCCATAATAAGACTGTGATACTTCAAGTGCCAAGCCTCTCGTGTTTGGCAAGAAAATGAATGGTCACCTTCCACCACCCAGCAATAACTACTACTAAACCACCACCAAGTTCTCTCTACTTTACCCTGCTGTTTTCTTACTCCCGTTGGCCAGAAAGGCACCACATTTTGTTTAATAAACAGCTGCCATTAGCTACTCCAAATACCCAGTAAGGGGGATGCGATCGGATTGACATTATTAACTTGAGACAGCTGTAGGATCTGGAATTCAGCTTCCTGTTAAATACTCCCACAAGGCAGGGCATCTGACCCCAAAGTCTTGCTCAAAATTTTTTCTCTCTTGAGCCCTTCCCCAACTTACTGCTTAATTGACTGCAACTAATCTGCTCCATACAAATTGTCCAGTTGTCTGCATCGTCCTTTAACTAAATGTTTTCCTGGAGGTTTTTCTTTTCTTCATATAAAACTAATTAGCAAAGGCTAACAACTATGACAGAGGGATCCTGAATTGTTCAACTAGAGCGACATTACGTTTTTAATCAGAAGATATCAAAGAAGAATTTTATTTTACAACAAATAACATTGCATTTTGCATTTCTGACCATATTTATTTCCATTAATTTTAGGTTGCAGCAAATAAACAGTAATATCTTAGGAGCTGTTTAAACTGATAAAACATACATAGCTCTTTCTCAGTCCAAAATGGCAGCCTACAAGTAACAACACTGTAGAAGTAAGAGTCATGAATATAGATTAACTTGAATTCTTCAACCAGAGTTCAAGTTCAATAAACAGTTGTTCAATCCTCATTCATTTATGTTATATAAAGAAACAGAAAACATTTAGCTAAGTGATGATGTTTTACAGGCAGGGCTAGTAGCGCTGCCCATTATTAAGGTTGTCTAACATTTTCTATTATAAGATCTTGTTTTCAGTGCTTTTAACTTGGCCAAACTTGAATCATTTGTGCTGAAATTTTCCGTTATGGGTGTCTGCCTCAGGTTGGATGTTTCTGGAAAATTTCAGCCAAAGCAGTTGAACTATTTCTGAGAGCAAGGCTGGGGGAAATAAGTTGCTTTTCTCATGTTAAAAAATTCTGGCAACCTTTTCTTTAATAGTTTTAATACTCTCATGCTTTGGAGCAGGGACTGGTGGGGTGGGCAGGCTGGGCCTGGGATCCAAGGGAGAAGAGGGGTCCCCGGAGAATGGAATTAGGAACACTAGGTATGTCTACACTGTAATAAAACACCCACAGCTGGCCCATGTCAGCTGACTCAGGCTCTCAGGGCTCGGGCTGCAGGGCTATAAAATTGCAGTGCACTCGGGCTGGAGCCCAGACTCTGGCACCCTCCCACCTAGCAGGGGCCCAGAGCCCAGGCTCCAGCCCGAGCCTGAACAACTACACTGCAGCTTTATAGCCCCACAGCCCGAGGCCCGTGAGTCTGTGTCAGCTGACGGGCTAGCTGCAAGTATTCTATTGCAGTGTAGACATACCTAGTTCCTAATTCCATTCTCCATGTACCCCTCTTCTCCCTTGGATACCAGGCCCAGCCTGCCCACCCCACCAGTCCCTGCTCCAAAGCATGGGAGTGCTAGAACTATTAAAGAAAAGGTTGCCAGAATTGGAGGAATAAGGGGGAAATTGGTTTGACAAGGAGATTGGGACTAGGAGCCAATGAGGAAATTAGTAATTGTGTCTTCAGAGCAGGGTTTGCATAGTGTGCAGTAAATAACAGATTGGGCCACACATTGAACAATGAAGATAAAACAAGACTCATTAAGTCAGCACCATCCACATAGTATATAAAATATTATGCACAAAAACCCTGGTATATGTGTGCACACATTCTATACAATCAATGGCATATATAAAGACAATGGGAGCTGCTGCATGATGAACACTTTTGAAAATCTGGCCCTAAAACAGAAGCTGGTAGTATCCTTAAGAATTGTGGCCAATTTAAATGCCTTGGAAACTAGCTAGCTCCACCTCTTTAAGCAAACAAGCGTATTACAATCTCTCGTAGATGGGCCTGAGCTTGGGCATGCTTTAAAAAGATATAGAGAGAGTATGAATGAGTTTGGAAGATACCAGCTTTTTTAGCAGTATTTATTGCCCAGTCTGGATTACAAGGATTAAATGGACTCATATGCATGAGGGTGGAAATGCAGGTGTTGGATGTTAATATATAATAACCTCTTCAAGCTTGAGGAATCATGTCAATGGCTTGTGAAATTAGGACCTATTTTATCATTACCCATATATGTGACTTGGGCTTTTATAAATATCTGACACTTAACAGTATTGTTTCCATCTTTTTATTTTGTTTAAATATTTTGAAACTGTGGAAAAATAATTATTGCTATCAAATGTTTTGCTGCCAGAAGTAAATCTTGTTTGTAATGTTACTGCCAAAAACAGATAAAGAAGGACAGAAATAGAATTCAGACCATTGCTGAGTACTTAACTTGCAGTAGGCTAAGAGAATAAATCTCTAAGATGTATTGGATCTTATATCTTCTGATTGGATCATGTTCTTTTGGTTTACTGTTCACTGTTCTGTTGAACTTAATCAAGCTTATATTATTTTAAACCTACCTTTACTAATAACAAGCCTCCCTTCAGACCATCATGAACATCTGGAATGTGGCTTTCTGACTATAGGGTTTTACAAATGTTATTGTAAACCTCTGAAGCCATGTCTATGTTGTACCTTCTATTTGCACTGCCTTCACAATAATGTGGTAAAGCTTTTTGACATGCAGAGAGACAAAACGATAGAATGTCTGCACTCTAAATACAGAAAGGGAACAAGCTGTACAGGAGAGAGTCAGTGATGAGACAAGCTTTTGCTCTCCCCATCTGAAAGACTGTTTGGTCAGTTTGTGAGACAGAAGAAACCAGATCTTCCTTGGTACACAGATGAATGCTCCCAGGACCTACACCAGGGGACAGGGGCAAAGCATCCTGAGGTAGAATCTCTGCCAACAATCTGCTCCCTTTGTGCCAGACAGGCAATGCACAGGTAGCGGAAACCTCCCACAAATCCCCTGTAGACACAGAGCTAATGGATCTTCCTACTGCATCTCCGTCCCCTAGTGCTTCCGAAAACAGAGAGGGTGGTTTGGCGGTGGGGTGGGATAAAGTGGAGAGTGAAAGAAGCCAGACCACTATGCACTCCAGCAATCCCTAGCTGGCCTATACACCCATGAGGATCATACACAACTACAATTTCCCCATGCAGCAAGTTCAGCTGCAGCCTCTGATAACTGTACGTAGCAGCAGAGGGCAGCATAGAAATTCCTCTGCCTGCAGCACCAGGCAGTCTGGGGGCCCTGAATTTCCTCTGAATCAGGCTTTTTGAGTGCTCTGATTTGCACCAAAATCATTAGAGATGTGCCCACTGATGCCTAGAATATTTCCTGAAATTTTGGAATTGATCAGATATGGCGTTCAAAAGCTAGACGGACAAACGTCATCACGTTCAGTATTAGACCTGACTTCGCTCAGCCAATTACCAACCTTGAGTGTTCAGAATTAATAAATTAGGCCCCCAAAATCATGGGATTTTCTTAAAAAAAACAAAAAAAACAAAAAAACACTTGAAGTTCTTTTTATTTGTATTCTGGATTTTGAATATTTATGGTTCATGTTTTCAATCTTATCTCCACAATGATGAGGGCTAGACAAAAAAAAAATTTTTTTAAATTAAAGCTGAGATTATGGTGAATTCACTTGACTTCAGATTCTATGACTAAGAAAAATGCTAAATATCACAAAACTTAACCTTTCTCACACTGTAGATGCATATTCAATTTGTGGTCCACTATAACCCCAATCCCTTCCAGCAGTTTTACTGACTAGCCATCTATTCCCAGTTTTTTATTTGTGCATTTGATTTTTCCTTCCTAAAGTGTAGTATTTTGCTTTGTCTTTATACAAACAAAGAGAGGAGTAATAACCAAACTACCTACAGTGACCAACAAATTAAAATACTAACTACATTACATGGCAGTCCTCTGTTTCTGGAATGAGGAAAGGCGTTATACATACATATACATTTAGACAGTAGTTTAATCAAATTGTAATCTGGATCTAATCCTGGTCCCACTGAGGTCAACAGCAAAACTCCTGTTGATTTGAATGGGTCAGATACTCTATACCCTTTTGCTGCATAAAAGAAAAGGTCCAAAGGCTTTAAGAACCAAAACAAAGGAGTCTATATTTAAATAAAACATTCTGCCCGAACATTACTGTGTTCATCATGTGACATAACTAGAAACTGAATATATGGATAATAAATCATGCCATAGATCCCTTTGATAGTGTCTATTTATTCAAAATACCATTAAGAGTAAGATTATCGTAGGACAGATTTGGAATTAATAGTCAACAGTACGTTTTCTCTTGCTATAACGTTTACATTCACTAATTCACACTGGATTCACATCTGCTAAAGCAATAATATGGCTCATATGTTCACAGAATTTGTAGAGAACAAACAGAAACTAAAGCGTGTTGTGTTGACTAACTTTCCATTTAAACTAAAGGGAAGGAAGTAGCAGGAATGTCAGGCTATGCTGGAGGTCCCTGATTTCAGACTGCACCATAACAGATATACTGATCAGGATTCAACAGGTTAGAATAACACCTGGGTTTCAGCAAAAATACTCACAATAAATCCAAGTTTTTTATAGTCTCGGGTATACATAGATTTGCGTTTCTCAATACTGCCACTGCTGTTGTTGGGTTCAGACTCTGCATCGAAAGCAATTCTTCGGAGTTCAAATATAATATCCCTCTGAGCCTGAGGGGGTTCAAAAAGGGAAAGGTCAGTTTTAAAAAAAGCAGAGAAATGTCTCCTGTTTTGAGTCACAGCAAGGAACTACAAAAGAATGTTTAAAATGCTGTGTGCTCTCCAACCCCCAATCTTACTTTATCAGAATATAATTTTAAGCAATTAGACAGATGGACATACAGAGTGACTTTGTGTCTCCCTATTTCCCCAAATCCTCACAGTTGAGGGATTTCATTCCTCAGAAGACTCACATGAAGTACTAGTGTCCTGACAGACACTTACCAACTCAATCTTGCAAGGCTGCACTCCAGCTCACACTTAACTTTAACCATGTATGTATAACACCACTGAAGTCAATGGGATAACTCACGTGCTTCAAGTTTCAGTTTGTGCTCAGTGTTTTCCTGGATCCAGGTCAGAGCGTACTCAGAACCTTGAAGGACTGAGCCCTAAGCATTCCTCTCAGTAACAGCAGATTTTTGTTACTAAGGGGATGACGGTGTTGCAGTAGTTTCAAATCATATCAATGCTGCACATCTGCAGCTCATCAAGAATATCTTGTGCCAGTAATAACTGTTTTGCCATTTACAGCTACAGTGCTACTTTGGTTGATGATGTAATGTGTGATGTGTACCAGGTAATTGTGTGTGTATCCTTTTTCCTTCTGAGTGAAGAGTTGCAGAAACTATCCTGCTTCTATATGTTGAAAGAAAAGAGAGTGCACAATGATTGCTGCAATGTAACCATGTATAATGCTGTCTCTTATCTGTGGAATACCCTACCTATCCCAGTTTCCCAAACCATCATATTGTCTTCATTCGAGTCCCTCTTAAAAACCCACTTCTTCTATATAGCCTGCATGAAGCTCCTTTAAAATTAAAGAAACAAGACCTGAAAATCTTTCCCATGGCATCCTGACTTCTTTGAGTCTCTTTTTTAAAACTGCAAGCTCTTTGGGGCAGGGGCTATCTATTTTTGTTTACTGCGCAGCACCAAACATATTGTTGGAGCTAAGTAATATTAAAAACAATTATTGTTTAACCACAAGAACCCAAAATTAAGAATGAACTAGAGTTACAGGGTTATTTAACAGATACTTTTAATTTGAACATTTGCTCTAGTTCTACATGAATAAATTCAACCAAGCATGACTACACATTTCAGATGGTTCTGATAAACATTATAAGAAAAAAAATAGACTGACGCTGATCTGGATGCTGTACAGATTTAGCTCAGGATGATGCCAAATTCAATTGATGAACCTCAAGCTCAAGAGATAGGGGTCTGAGAGGGGTAAACTTGCCAGGTTATTGTCTCACTTTTGCATAACAGAAACCAGTGTGTGCAGTTTGTTTTTCAAACAAAAAATCTGGCCTTAATTTCAGACTCCCTGGAAAATGGGTCTTTATAAACACACATGGGATATCCGTGACTGCTAAGAAGTGCCACTTTGATTAATCTGCCTTTCCTGGCTCTAAAGGCTAAGCTTGGCACTACATCTGTCCCCTTACTGTTCAGACTGGATTGTGAGAGATGCTTACCTGGTCCTGTGGATCCATTTTGGTCATCATTCTGTCCTCCAGAAGGTTAAAGGTGAGCACTTGCAGAACATAAAGCTGGTGCGCCATTTCATTATTGATGGCCCTCTGGGCCCTGATAACATGCTGTGAAAGGAAGATATTCAAGTGAATGTCACCTACTCTTTTCCTACCACTGATTCCCATCAGGTGGGCTCAGGTGTTTCCATTCCTGTATGTGTTTGACGAGCAGTGGTGTATGCATACTGTTGAAGGGAAAAAGGTAAGCCCGATACTAGTAAGGTGGCTAGGTACACAGGTGTTCCATGGGCTGTGATATTAAATCCTATCCCTTAGTAAGGTTCCTGAAAGCAGTGCACAGAGTCCTCTCCTCCTGCCCTCTAGCTAGAGCATGTGCATACAGAGAACAGAAATTAGCAGCCAGGTCATCCTTTTGAAGAGCACTCGCTTCAGAAGGGCACATGCAAAGAGTGCATTTAAAGAAAGAGTGAAGAGAACAAGGTTTCTAAGCAGAAGAGTATTCATGCTGCTGATACAGCTGTCATAGTAAGCCAGTTGCTGCAAGGGAATCAATTACAAATGAACCACACTCCTACCTCTCTACCAGATGATCTCATTCTATATGAGGAAAATGGTTTAAAATTAATTAAAATTAAAATGAAATGCCCATAAACAGTAGAGAAGTCACCAAAGTTACAATGCAGGTACCAAAATGATTGATAATTTTAAAGTCACTGAGGTACACAAAAATGCCAGGGAAGCTAACTAGATTGATACGATCTTCATCCCAAGGGTTTCTGTAGAGGGTGTAACCAGAGGTCACTAGCCCAGTAGTGCGTAAGGAGAGAAATGGGCATAACCTCCAAGACGGTGCTACTCAGTGGCAGCGCTAAATAGGATGTTTGCTGTCCTCTGCTACATGGCATTGGAACATTTATGCCAGAGAATGAGTATCTGGGATTGTTACTCATGTAAATTTCACAGCAGGGGTCAAAATCTAGCCTACTATGTATACAGCCATTTAGGAAGGAAAATATAGCCTTTGAAACTGAAACAGTCTGCTTTTTCCACACTGATCATCTAAAGAAAAAGAGAGGTGTGAGGGGGACAGGATCTCCAGACTGCCAAATCTGCCTAATGCTCATATCTATGTCATGTCAGATACTGCACTAGTACAGTTTAGAAGAGCCCTGATCTGCCTCTAACTATGGTCAGTGACAAAACTCCCCTGGTCCTCAATGGGAGAAGGCGAAGGAGAAGGAGAAGACTCTTTATTATGTTTATTAAGTCCACTTTGAAACTTCCATGCAATTATTTATTACCAGCAATAATCTAACTTTGGCAAACTGTGTCCCATTTAAAATCTCAAGATATGTGGAAACACACAAGAGTTTTCATATTGTAAAATCATCTATACACATGATGCACAAACAGGCATAGGGGCTGATTTTGAGAGCCATGCAGCACTGTGTACATTGTTTGCTTGACAGAAAGTTCCCAACCCTAAAGTTTGGGTTGCATTACTAATCAAGGCCACTGCAGATTTTTCAAATCCCTCCTAGTCTGCAAGCTAATGCTCACTTTCTCCAAAGGAAGGGAGCCCCAAATACTGCATTTATTCATTATTATATCTTGGTAGAGAAATGACAATTTATGCATTGGGGAAATAACCTCTTTTCCCTTTTGGACAGTCAATTCTGAGTTCATTCAGCAGCAGAACTACCTTATCTAGCAAGCCACAAAACATATGGAAATACAAAAACAACTAAAAGAACATAAACACGAATAATATACAACATACATCCACCAAAATGGCAACATGTGTTTTTTCCCCTGTGCTGGTAAATAAAATCTTTGGGAACTTTATACTAATACTTACTGTTAAGATGATAGCCCGAAGCTGTTTTTGTGCCAAAATGTTTGCCATCTCCTGTTTTGGTAAAACACAAAGACTTAGCTAAAAGCATGTATTTCAGTGCAGCCATGAGAAGAACTCTACATTCATTCCTGGGTGTGTTTTAGTACTGAATATCAGCAGTATTTCTCATTAAGAAATTAAATGAGAGGCCTCACAGTGACTGCCTCAGCTGATCTTTTATTTTTGTTTAAATTCAGACCACCCTGAAAAGGACAAAGAGGGACAACGAAAATGAAGGGACCTGAGGCCATACAGTTTATACCAGGGAGCAGAACATTTTGGCTATCCAAAAATAGCGATAAAAGGATGGAACAGTGATTGAGACCCAATATATATAATATGAGGGAAGTATTTAACATACAAGTATTCTAGCAGAGAAAGACAGGAGGAAGTCGCATATGTTTCTACCTGCTAGCTGGGACTTTGAAAATAAGTCGTAGTGAATCAAGATGTGCATATGTGTATTAGACTTTAAAACAGTTGAAAACTAATGCTTTACCTTAAAGTCAACAATTAGCCCGAGTTACTGTATCATCACTGCAAATCAAACTTCTCCCCACTAAAAACTGTTCCGTGTTGGTGGGGGTCTTAGACAGGGGCCCTCCATTAAAATCTATAGCTCAGTGGTTTGAGCATTGGCCTGTGAGTTCAATCCTTGAGGGGGCCACTTAGGGATCTGGGGCAAAAATCAGTACTTGGTCCTGCTAGTGAAGGCAGGGGGCTGGACTCGAGGTCCCTTCCAGTTCTATGAGATAGGTATATCTCCATATATTTTATATTACTTTATGTTTTAATTTAACTTCTATTTTTATCTTTAACCATTCAGTAACCACCAAACACACATCTTTGATTCAACATCCATTCTTAAGCAAATCCATCCAATCTCAGCTATTTAGCTGCATATCATACTCGTAGACCTTGTATGTGTTGTAATGGTCTCAGTATTTATAAAGTTGCCATTGCAGAAGTATCTAGACAACAGAACCGTAAAACTCTTATTTTCCCTTTACTCTTGTTTGGTATATATACACATTTGCATCTGTTTGATCTTTGTAAACACTCACACTCTAAAATTTCATTCAAAAATATACTATTAAATTACATGGGTAAAATCTTGTGCATCGCTACCTATACACTGGTATTAGCATTTGGACATTTTGGGCCACTGCTGTAAATTTTGTCTATTGCTATTATTAGCTCATCCGACACTGTCTTACATAATATAGCACAACATATCACATCAGTTCTAATGTTTTATAGTTCAAAGAAACTATCTTAATCATAATCCATTGTGATTCTGTGCCATTATAATTGATTCAAAATACTGCTCATATTCAGAAAAACTAAAAAAGTTTTTGCAAATGGGTTTGCAAGAATATTACTAAAAGCTAGCCAAGTTATATGTTTATATTAAAAATCTATGCAAGAACACAGAAAACAGGAAAAATGATGACAAATAAAATATGAGAAGAAATGGATAACTGCAGAAAGGATACGTAAGCAAGGCAGAAGCAGCATAAACAAAGGCTGGCTCTGGCACTATTAGAAGAGAACCTACTTGCTCTAACACAGAAAGAAAGTGTTAACTTACAGTCAAAGGACAATCAAGGATGTTAACAGTGTTCGCTACATCAAGCTAATGGTATTGGGTCAGAGTGCAGAGGTGAGAAGGGAAAAAAGTGATTGAAGACCAGAGAATCTTTGTTAGAGCTTTATTTTTATTTCTATTATATTTATTTCTATTTCTAAACAATTACTCCTTCCATGAGGAATACATGGAAGAATCCCTTCTCCATCCAAAGGAAAAATCATGGAATCGTTTAAAGAAGTGGGATAGCAGCATGTCCACTTTGCCCTTCAAATCTTTTAGTTTCCCGATGTAACACAACTGAGGTGTTACTTTTATTGGGACCTCCTTTCGGATCATTGTTTGTCCCTCCTACAATGGGTTATGGTCAATTAACAAAAATGATTCTTACTGAAGAAAATCACTCTCTGACTCCAGCAGAGCTGCACAGATTTACACCAACCGAGTGGCCTACATTTTAGAAATAAATTCTTGAGGTCTTTCATTAATACAAGATTAGACAAAGTTCTCCATAGTAATCTTCAGCATCACTTCTTAATACACTGGAACTAACAAACAATAAAACTATATATTTCAAAAGAGTTTTTTTAAATGTGTCATTTTGTGCCTCAAACACTTTTGGCTTTCTTCTGCTATTGCGACAAAGTTCTTTTTTTTTTAAAAAAAAATAACCGTTGTCCAGCATTATCCTTGATAGGAGTAAAGTAACAAGGGAGTTTTCCTTTCAAAAACTTTCTTTCTTTACATTACAGAGCCAGACAAAAGAAAATAGGATAGTCACAAGTCACTACTAGAAAGTTAGCTATATTTTTTTATTACAGTGTAGTCAACTAAACAGAGTTGGATCCTCATACTGCAGCTTATGGGAGTTTGCCAAAACCTCAGGCATTGTGCAGGATTTTTATATAAAATTGTATGGTCCCTTTGAGGAGTTTGCAGTGCGAATTCTGGCAATCATAAGTTTTCCACACTTTCCAGTTCACAGCACTACACCTGCTGTGTTATTGATATAAAAGTAATATAGCATCACACCATGAACCCAGGTGTAAATTCCAAGCCACATTCTTCACAATTGTTAGTGAAATTCCTTGTACTATTATGCCTAGTGTGGTCTGGTTTTGACAATATGATTTTTCAGTTCACTACTTCACATACATCAACTATCAGCAACGGCAACTGGACCTGGAAATCCAAGTCCAAGCAGCAAAACAATTAAATGAACTATGATTGCATAACCTCATTATTTTGCCTCAGAGATGTAGAATGCAATCAAGGTTAGCCTTTAAACCTATGTTAAAGTTCATAGAAACTTTCCCTTTCTTGGATATATGGACTAATACTTAACCACAACACATAAAGAGTCAAGGTTCTGACCACTTAAACACTTTAAAGACCCCAGGAAATTTTCTCCAAGTGGGGGTGTTAACCCCAGCCTCCTGGCCAAATGTCTAGTCAGGTAATTATTTTCTACCTACCAGACTCTCCCTCTGCAGTTTCATTAGGTTGCAGTGGTGTTCTTCTCTCTTTATTATGTAATATTAAAGACAGCGAGGATCCACTACAAAGGGTGGTAGCAATTATGGTGGGTGAAATGATTCCTATGTATCCCTTACCACCCTCACAGGAGTGTTGTGAAGCTTAATTAGCGTCTGCAAAGCACTCTGAGATACTCAGTGCCTTTTCAACTATAGGAGAGCTGATTTCAGAAGCATGCAGCAACTTTTCTTTTGACTTAACAGAGACATTAAATTAAGTTAAAAAATGAAGGAAACAAAAAACTTTCCATGAAAGTTACATTGAAAAATCCACTTCTTATAAAAAAATGATTTTTTGACTCTTTCTAGTATTTTGGCACTTAAATAATTGGCCTGAGTTTCAACAGTGTTGAACAAGCAGCACCTTCACATCAGATACCAGTGATGTGTCTCCACTAGAGTTCCTGCCATTACTACCACTGGGGGGAAATTCTAAGAAAAGTATCTTGTAGCCCAGGCTAATATCTTAATAAACATAATGCAACTGCTCCCACATACCAGACATTACACTCCATCTCCGTTTAACATGGAGCAGCAGTCTTGAAATATTTCCATTGGCGGCTTCTGAATTTTAGCACTAAGTTAGCTAAGTGGAACATTATTACAGTTAAGCAACTCACACATAGACATTTTGTTTCCGAGCTATGATATAAAAAAGGAATTCCCCTTTTAAACAACAATCTGAAAAAAACAGTTTACAAAAAAAGAGTATGATGTTACAGAGTGTGTTGGCAAAAATTTCAATGCACTAAATAACCACAGCAGTAAATGCAAACACCAAAGACTGCAGTTTCCTAACACAATCAATACAGTTTATCTGAAGCTAAATTACACCAGAAAAGCTCAACAGGCCTGATTCACCTCTCCCTTACACCAGTGTAAGGCAGAAATGACTTCACTAAACTGTATGGGAGTACACCAGTGTACAATAAGCAGGTCCCATATCAGCTCTAGTCAATGGTAACAAAAGTGCGAAGGGAAACCATAGCAGAGATGTAGATAAGCTGCCAAAAGTAATCAGACTCTGCTATAGGTCTGCAGATGAACAACAAAAACCAACAACTCACCTGCCTCTTGTCATCAGGTGCTTTAAGGAAAAGTGCATTTATTACTGCAATCGTGTAGGTTTGGATTTCTTGATCTGTCCTGTGTGGAACATGATTGTAATAATTATGGCAGATGGTAGATGGATACAAGCTTTAGAAATTATTTTTTTCTTATTGTGTTATCTGAGAACAGAAAATTAAGCTGAAGACACAAAATATTCAGTAAATAAGCCTGCTAATCAAGGATTAAAGTATTTGTATGTAATACACATTTTAAATTAATAGAAAGTTCCTGAATTTATCTAACACCCAGTATTACTGTAGACAGCTTTTGCCTAGCCATCCAACCATTATTTATCCAAAGCACATTCAATTTAAGAAATTTTTCCTTCCCAACCTCACCCTCAGCAAGGGATGCTGTTCTACCCTACTAGTTTTCCAACAATGGTACACAAATGGATCCATCTGCATCCTAACATTACTCACCATCTCACCATTAATGGTGTCTCAGCTCCATTTCCCCGCTTCCATTCAGCCATATAGAAGCTACTACACAACCAGTTTAGCCAGAACTGGTGATATACAATGGACACTACCACCACATTCATTACAAGTTGTTTGGCCATTGTTAGCTGAGGCTGAATTTAATCCATCTCAGAGACTAGATGTAAAAGCGGTTCTCTTTACAACTTTAATTTTAAACACAGGGCTCGTTCAACAGTCATTATCTAGGATACTCACCCCTGAAGATGTGGGATTAACTGGCCGATGGTGATCTCCTGGGCTACCTTCTGGTACAGCTCATGGCTATTGAGCACCATTGACTCCAGGATGGCTAATGACCGTTGCAAGATAGAGATGTCCGCGGCAAATTTGTTCACATAACTTGCGATCTACAAATTGAAACATTTGAATAATTCGTATCTTGTTTACATGCACAGGGAAAGGGAAGGGGGGAAAGGCTGGATTCAAAAGCAGAAGGGACAATTTGTGTAGATGCTAGCTGTTAGATGTGCATAAATGAATACTAGGAAAGTATCAACCGGTTGTGTTGATTAAAATCAGAATACACGGAAGCAAATCATGAGCCAGATTCTCAGGTGATGTGAACTCGTATAGATTTGTTTAAATCAATGGAGCTATACCAATTTACACCAGCTAAGTATCTGGCCAATGTTCAAACATCACATGTTGTATGAAATCACCACTGAAAAATTGTAAGCTTTGTTTTTTGCCAGAGGATGTTTTGGAAAGAGCGGGGGAGGAATATTTTATCCTTCCTAACGTAATAATCCAGCATGGGCATTTTCCCTCAAATTGTCACTGTTAAAAACAAGGTGGGTGAGGTAATATCTTTCATTGGACCACTTTCTGTTGGTGAGAGAGACAAGCTTTCGAGCTTACACAGAGTTCTCCTTTGGCTCACTGGTAAAACAGCAGCTGGGCAGAAGTGACTAAAGCAGCAGCAACCTTCCCAGTGAAAACTGCCTTCCTCTAGCATAATCTACATGTTTTCCCGCTATCATCCCATGACTTCCAGTGCAAAAGAAAATCAACCTCACTCAAAACCTATCTCCATCTTACAATTTTTAATTGAGCCGGCATGGCTGGCTCTAAACATGGTTTGCTTCCACGTGCATGATGGTAAAAACTCCTAGTAACGACTGTCAGCTAATAAGTGTTTCATCCCTACTGCAGGTGTAGGTCAACACACAGTTGTCTTCTTGTAACCAGCTCAGCACACTGTTTTTGCAGAGTGGCTATCACACCCCTCCCGATACCTATGTAACCAGTTTGGCTCTGCAGCAGAACGTGTTAGACTGCATCATCCTGCATGCTGCTGATGTACTGTGTACATGTCCTCTAGGAACTCTGCCTTCTGCTGAGGACCTATGGGAGAACAGCCCAGATTTTCCCAGAATGCACGGACATAAGCATGATTAAGCAGAATGATACCTGAAGATGCACAAAAGTTGTTTCGATAGCCAAAAAATTGCTCCATGGGGACAAACTGAATCTTACAACCAGTAACTGTTAAGGTGATTGTGTCTCTAACCAGTTACAAAATCATGGTTAAAAGCTATAGCGTTGATAAAGCCTTAAGTTTTGTGCTTGTGAAATTTTGAGTGGAAGCAGAAGGAGGAAAGCAGCTATTTTTGTACAGGATTATTGTGTGTATTGTAGGCATCAAAACAAAGAGAAGAAAAAAAATCTATTATGCTGCTGCTCCTGCTACAGTCTCCCATCCCCACCCTCTACCCCATTACTCTCTGCATGAGTTTTTGCTCCTACAGATGACACAGTGGGTGTTCCTCAGTCAGTAGTCAGTGGGGTGACCACCGGTCCAAATGTCTGTTGTGAAGTTAAATATCCCCACAGTTCTTTTACTGAAAGGCACTAAGCTGAATGCCCATATTTTTACCTACTTTGCATTAAAGCAAGAGGAACATGGGGTGCATATGATGGAATTTAAGTCAGGCAGCCAGGATACAAAGATCAACATTGCAGGGAAGTGAACACAGAGGTAAGTTGTGGAAAGTATAATCAAGGGACAAGAGTAGGAGCAACAGAAGAGAGCTAGCCTTTGTCTATACTGAGATTTCAGCCATCAGTGCAGCTGCATCAGTGAAAACCCCTAGTATAGACATGATTTACACTGGTATATTATGATTTACACGGGTCCAGCTTACCATGCATGGTTTCAAACTGGGTAAAATGTGCCAATGGAAATCATGCTTCACTGGTGTAAATCACGTCTATATTAGGGCTTTGCACTGGTGCAGCTACACTGGTGGCTGAAATCCCATTGTAGACAATGCCTTAACTAGGGTTACCATACATCCGGATTTTCCCGGACATGTCCGCCTTTTTGGTCCTCAAATCCCCGTCCGGGGGGAATTGCCAAAAAGCCGAACATGTCTTGGAAAATGCCGGCATCCCTGCCCCAGTCCCCTGCTTACCTGAGCGGCTCCGGCAGGCTGCGAGCTGCAGGCGGATTCCCCGCTGCGGCGGCGGCTGCTGCTGCTCCCCCCAGACACCTCAGCTCTGTGTAGCTGAAGAACCGACCTGCCCAAGCGCTACCGGCTTCACAGTTTGCCGGGCAGCCCCCAGACCTCCAGACCCACTGCGCCCCCGGCCGGGCGCTTCCCCAGCGCAGCCAGAGCCCGGGAGGGGAAGCGCCCGGCCGGGGGTGCAGGGTCTGGAGGCTGCCCGGCAAACCGTGAAGCCAGTAGCGCTCGGGCAGCTGTTTCGTGTGGCTGGGAGGGAGGGGGGAATGCGGGGCGCTCAGGGGAGGGGGCGAAGTTGGGGCGGGGACTTTGGGGAAGGGGCGGAGTTGGGGCGGGGAAGGGGCGGGGCCAGAGCCCCGTGGAGTGTCCTCTTTTTTAAAACCTTAAATATGGTAACCCTACCTTAACCAAAACTACTCGTCTGCTCCCCAGCCAGAATCCCTTTTCGTTGTTGCAAATGTGCAGCCAGAGCATAACGGCATGGTTTGCACACAGAGGCTGCATCTACACTACACACCACTGGCAGCAGAAAGCACACTGTGGTGTGCAGCTACAAGTGTCAGTGAAAGTCTCTGGCAGCGGAGAAAGGCTTCAGCAGCTCCCCACTCCCAGAGCCCTTCACTGCAGTGAGGAAAAGCTCTGGCAGGGGAGACAGCTGGGAAAGGTTGCTGGAGTCTTTCCCTGGGGCAGAGGAAGGGTTCCAGTAACAGGGAGTCAGCAGGACACTAAAAATAGCAGTGTACATGGGACGGCACTGCTTGGGGGAACAGAGAATCGTGTGGGTATGTACTCGAGTACACACGCACACCCTTCACACGTATCTTTACTCAACTTGCTTAAGCCGTGCTTCACCATCTACACTGCTATTTATATCCATGCTTGGTGCACTACATGCGTAGGTACACTACATGCCGCCCAAAGAAGAGTGCAGTGTAAGACACACCCTTACAGACCAGTCATATGCTGCAGCCATTAAAAATTTTGCTGAAATGAAACGTTTTGTACAAAGCAGTGAATGTTCATGGAAACTCCAGACACACACACACACACAAAATTCAACTGGTTTTAAATTTCCATAAAAGATTTCACAGCTCTGCCTAGCTCATGGGTGAATTAAGGGAAACTGAGGCATGGAGATTGAAGTCCCAGTTAATCAAGGCATTTAAAAACGTGCATAACTTTAAGCATTTGAGTAGCCCCACTGGGGTGCTGAAGTGCCTTGCTGAATCAGGTCCTAAATGTCTTGCTTAAGGGGACACAGGAAATCAGGGCTTTCGTCCCATCACCAAATAGAAGGGGGAAAAACAAATTGCAACTTTAATTGCAACAGAACTGTGACAGAAGGCAAAAAGCATCAGGTCCTTTAAACAGCAATCTGTTCATTAGTTACTGCCTGGAACATTTTGATGTCAGTATAGATATTGAAGGAGCTGATATGGTGTGGTTCAAATGCCGGTCCTCCTGCAGAATAAGTTTTTCAAGTGATTATCTTATTTTCAAATAGAGGTCTATTATTATTGCATTTGACTAGCGAACAACAAACTGTATGTAGTAAAAAAGACAGCTATTTTTCCTGGTGCCATCCTCTTCCCGTGCAGCAAGTTTTAGAAAATGAGAGTAAGCAATTCAACGGGATCAAGGGCATCCACATTACATAGAGTTATGAAACAGGCATGATATTTATAGCTTAAAAGTTGTTTAAAATGTCTTGAGTAGGCTGAGATTTTTCCAAGATGCCTAGAGGATTTTGACACACAAATACCATTGGTCATCATGAGAACTGTACATACAAATCCTTTAGGTGGCTTTGAAAACCTCAACCTAAAAGAACTGCAGTGTCAGCAGTGTGAGAGAAGACAGCAGGCAGGAGGGAAAGGACTGTTGCTGACACCCACTACTGGAAGAAAGCCATATGCAGAGTATAAAAGATGGGTGAAAAATTATATTATATAGGCTATTTTTTCTCTTGGTATAAAAACTTACACATTATAAATATAGTATAAGGGAAAGACATTTTTCTCTCCCACTGAAATTCATTTATTTGAAAACATTATTTGGACGATATGAATTCTTCTTTTAATACCAGTTTGAATGACACCTATTTCAATGCAACCGTATGCATTCAGATGTTGGAACTTGCATTGCATTTAGCATCATGCTGCTTGTTGTTCATTCTACATGACTAAGACAATGTAGAGGTTCCTCTAAGTTCTCTTGAGGCTTCTGCCTTTGCAGTTAGATGTTTTTTCACTTTAACTTTCCCCTTCCAGCTTTGCCTTCGTCTAGTAGAGAAAAGCTCTTCACAGGGGCAGGGCTGACGTGCCCCATAGCTTAGCAGTAGATCTTCAGCCCCCATATCTGCACTGTCAGTGATCACGCCAGCCCACCAGCAACTTCAAAGGGTCTGGCTGGTGCTAGTGGAGCAACAGATTCCCATGAGAGAGAAGGAAGGCCTTAGCCCTGATCCCTGGCATGCACTGAAGGTGATGAGGCTCCACGTGGGTGCAGAGGTCCATATGCACATAATACATTGCACGGTTGGGTCATAACTATGCACCTTTCCTGCATCTCTGCTTTTCTCCTTCTTTTCTATTTTCTCCCCTCTCCCATTCTTCCTTATTCTTTCTATTGATCCCTCCTCTGTTCACTCTTTTCTTCCTTCTCCTTGCCAGGATGGCTGAGTTAGGTGCCTCACTAGGCAGGAACACATTTTTAATAGGTTGCCCAAGGGCATTTACCGATTAGGAATGTTGGGCCCAGAATACACGGCAGACATACCAATATCAGGCAGTGCACTTGCTAGCTTTTCCTGTAATTACTTTGCATCCTGCAGGGCAAAGGAAGAGGTTGGATAAGAAATTAATTTTATTTGGTTGACAAGATAGCATTTGTGGGCTTTGTACTCATTTGTTAGTGGGCTCTTCTGAACACAAAGGACGTGTCTTATATAAGTCTGTTACAAAACAGTTGCATTCTATTCTTTATAGTGGAAAAATGTAAAATAAAACTACCAAACCTATAAGATATTTTTAAAAACAGAAAAAGATATGCAGTAAGACATATTCAATAACTGTTTTGATCAGTTTGGAAATCTGTCTGTAAATATCTATGTCCCAGACACTTAAATAGGACACTCCACCTTGCTCAAAAGTGACACTATCAGGTGATGAGTGACAGAAATTCTGTTCTGGGTTAACCACGTAACCCAACTGACTTTAATGAAGTTACATGAGTGCAAAAGAGCACATGTTGGAGCCCATATTTTTAAAAATCAAATGTCTTGATTGCTCACAAATAATAGCTTTGATTATGAAAATTGATTTTTTTAAATTCTAGTTCTCTTTTCACTGTTCTGCTTATTTCCTATTTTGGTATTGATTCTTTCAGCTTGGACAGTGGAACTAAACTTGTCAGTTTCACTTAGGCAATAGTCATTTTCTAACCAAATTTAGATTGCAGACACTGCAGGGAAATGTCTCTAAGAAAGAAAAGTTTCCATGAGATATTTTAATATTATTGCTACAGTTATTATTTTGTGAAAATATTACTATTCATTTTTAGTCTTTTTATAAGATTATTTTGGGTCAAGTTTGTCCCAATACTATCTTTTTCATGAGACAATGTCATCTTAATAAAAAACAGCTTTACTTTCTGATTTTTTTTAAGGTGTTAATATTTTAAGCAACACACGATTACTATAAATGAAAAAGATTAGAGGGGGAAAACACTCTTTTTTTCAGTTTGTTTAATTTGTGCATTTAGCAGTACTTTTGTATAATCAGTGTCACTGTTTCTATTATATCATCAGTTTTCCCGGTTTGTGTGGGGAGAGAAAAAACATTTAAAACAAGAGCATTTGATTATAAAACAAGAGAAATTAGCAGGGTGACTCAAGAGCAGGTGTAGGTCCCAAAGCTACTTTTAACTCACTTTAGAGAGATAAGGTGGGTGAAGTAATATATTTTATTGTATAAATGATGTTGACGGAAAAGCCAATGTTTCCAGTTACAAACCATTCTTCAGAGTCCCTTCATTTCAGTGTACAATACAATCAAACAAAAAAGGAAACATTCTGTCATTGTTCTTGGTTCAAGCCAAAGGAAGGCCTTGTCTTAAGTTTAAACTTTAGCTTACACTAAGTTGATATAAGGTACAATTAAGCCAAAGTGAGTGTCCACATAAGGGACCAATTTAACTAAAGTCAGTTTCTAAACCCATTTAATAAATCAATATCATTTTGTCATGTATGTAAGGCTTAAGAAAGGCATCACAGACTTGATCCTGTTCCACTGAAGTCAACATCAGTGAGACTTCAGTAGAAGTAGGTTCAGGCTCCACAACAACAAAAAATTTAGTCTGAAACAGCCCTTCTCCCTCATCCCCCCCACACACACTTTCAGAGACATATTTTGCTGAGTTAATTACTATCTACCTGAATAAGAACATTTCTCTCCAAATGCTTAAAACCTAGACACACAAACTGACATTAAAAACATGCACTGTAGGATAGAAATTTACCTTTTTAATGAATGCCACCGAGAATGTATCCCATGATACAATCCCATGATCCATCAGCTCAACAAATGCAGTCAGTGTAAAGGACAACATATCTCCAAAGCTGGAAGAGACGGGAGTCATAACAACAGTTACCAGTAATGCAGCAGGGCAATGATAAAGGGAACAGTGGCAGGAAGCTCTTAGAAAGGCAAGACAAAAAAGCCAGAGACGTGTTAAGAGGTAGAAAGCAGAGCAAAAGAGGCCGTGCAGCGAAGATACTCCAAAACACGTTAGCATTGGCATCAAAGACTATCTCCTGGAAGAGACCAACTCGCATTTGTGAGAAAACTTCATGCAAAGGCCAAGAAAATCACCCAGTGCAGATTAAACCTCTCTTTTAGTCCACATTTTTAGAGCTGAGGGAGGAAATCAAGCTGAGTCCTCCTTTAGCAAATGAAGTGGACACTCCCATTTGAATGTCATCTTGCTTTTCTACCAATGTGTCAGGTGTGTTCACAGAAAGTTAGTGAATTGTTAATTCCTTCTCTTCACAGGAGACAAATAGAGGAAGTATTTAGAAAGAGACTACCTGTGTTGTGCAACAACTTTTCCAATAATTAATATTTAAAATCTATTTACAGAAGAAAGTCATTATTTATTATTTAGGTTGCTTATAGGCAAAATTCTACCACCCTTACTCCTGCTGAGTAGCACCTCAAGGGTTGTCCCCTGCAAAGTTGCACCAATTTAACTGAAGATGCAATTTAAAGTGGATTTAGTGAAACCAGAGCAAAAGGCTGTGTGGACATTTGTAAACTTAATTAATATCAATCTAATTTATATCAATTCAGTGTAAGTCAATTAGGAACAGGGTTAAACTTAACCCAAATACCAGACTCAGACTAAAATAAGTGTCAACACAGGATTTTGTCCCATTTAACTTTCAATTTAAAAACTGATTTAAGTTAAGCCAGTTAACTTGTGTGCAGTCAAGGCCTGGGTGCATCAGCAGCCCTATTGGTTTCAGAGGGGCCATTCATAAAGTAAGGAACTACTCAGCATGAGTGGTAGTGGCAGAACTAGGTCCTAAATGAAGTGACATGATCCTTCAAGGTACTGAGCACTCTGCCACTGATCCAGCAACATACTGAAGCATGTGATTAACTTAAAGCACAAGAGCATTCCCATTGACTTCAGTGTGACTTCTCAAGCACTAAAAGTTAAGCACATGCCTAAGTGCTTTGCTGGATCAGGCCAACATGGTCAGCACCATTCAGAAATGAGCCCAATATCCTGGTGGCAGTTAAGGGAAATTTGATTTATATTCCTTACTGGTATATTTGTTTTGTTTTACAAATCCTGCACCAACTAAGACAAATTGGTTATCATCTGCTCAAAAGGGAGGATGAACCTGTTACAGAGGAATGAGACAAAGTCTATAGGAAGGATCACTGTTGCAACTAGTATTCATTGTTTACTGGAAAAATTGGGGACTTCCGTGTTAATCTAGCATTAAGTGGTATTTTAACTTATCCAAAAATATAAAACTTCTATCTTTATTACAGCCTTAGGTTGAAATATTTGAAGGACATTAGTTTTTAGGTCCATCTTGCATTTCTTACGTGTGCTTGCTTTGGACAACTTTTTGTCCTGTTAAATATTAAGTGCTTTTTCAGAGCTGGGGGACTTCACCTACACAATTAAAAAAGAGAGACAGCATAGCTCCATTGGTCTAAATCTAAACGGCTCCATCCTATTGCCGTGACATTGTAAAATTAAAGAAATATCTTACAACTTCTTAGTTTTGTGAACAAGCAATATTCTAAATACTATTTAAAGGTGGAAACCAATGCAGAGTTCAGGTAAACATCTGTGAAGGGAAAGATTTTGGAATCCCTTACATTCCCAAGGCCTGGTCTACACTTAAAATTTAGGTTGACATAGCTGAGTCAGTCAGCAGTGCCCAATGTAACTATGCTGACTTAACACCCAGTGTAGACACATTCTTCCATCAACCTACCTACTGCTGCTCGGGTAGGTGGTGTTCTTACACTGATGGAAAACCCGTTCCATCAATATAGGCTATGTTTACACTAGAGGATTATGCTGGCATCGCTACAGCAATCTACTATAAATGATTAGTAAATCTAGGCTACATTAAATGTAAAGGCCTTTGCCATAAGAAAATATAAAAGAAGATTGTATCCTTCTGTTGCTTCTTTATGTTGTATAAATAAATTCTGGTAGATTGTTGACACAGAAAAACGTAGAGGCAATGTTCTGCTTCCTTTTTATTGTAGAAATCCACATCTTATCTACCCTGGGAGACTCTATAGCAGTTGGAGAGCTAGTGAAATTTTATCATCACAAAAAAGTGGAAGATGAACAACTGAGAAGAGATATTTAGGTCACTCTGTTTAAAGTTCTTTGAGGTTTGGTTTTTTGTTGTTGTTGTTGTTTTGTTTTTTGTTTGTTTATTTGTTTGCTTGCTTTTGGTAACACTTACTCAATGCCAATGCCTAAATGGCACTTGGGAGAAAGATACAATTGTTAAAGATTCAGTACACCTGCCTCTCCAATTAAGGTGTAAGCTCTTGTAACACACATCTCCAAGAAGTCCTCCACTAAATCACAAAAGATCAGATTTGACATTTTTGAGTAAAAAAAGCAAGCAAAATTTATTTTGAACATAGTAGCTTCATTTAGCTTAAAGTTAAACCAATTTAATGACACCCTAATTCTGAATGAGTGTCTGCACAGGGGTTTAATATGATTTAACTACTCTACTTTAAATTCACACCTTTAGTTAATTTGGGTTAGCTTTCCTGAGTCCAAGCTCGGGTGGCTTCCCGAGCTTGGACTAAGATGCAACATCACCTGTCCTGCAACGTCCACATTGCTATTTTTAGGATGCTAGCTCAAACTGAGCTAGTGCAAGTCTGTCTACCTGAGCTGGAAAGCACACCTCCCAGCCGCAGTACTCACATACCCTAAGAGGGAAACCCTCTAGCTTGAGTAGCCAAGCTGTGTGTACAGGAGAGACCCTGCTGGGATTAGAGGAAAGAATTCAGCCTTACAGTTGCAATATCCCCAGTGGTAGGTGGAATCTACCAACCCCTACCTCCAAAAAACCTGTCTGCCAGATTGCAAGGACCCACAGAAGAGAGAAAAACCACTGCTGTGTGGCACAAATGGAGGGAGTATCCTTCCAACATAGGCTCTAAGAATCCTGCATGATCACCAAAACCATACTAGTTCTGCCGAATCCAGTGCCGGCTGCGCCTGCGTGGGTGGTGGAAGGGACTGGTCCCCAAAATGAAAAACAGAAACAGTGCTTCATGTAATGAGTCTGCATTCCTCTGAAACTTTGGAAGTTAAAGCTAATACTTGTTAACTACAAGTCTCATCCTGCCCCACTAGGTGTCACTATAGCACTTCAAATAATTACCGGAGAGGCAAAAAGAGCTCTAATGTTGGAACTACACAAGTAGAAATTAAAAATAAAATCCATGTCAACATCAACATACATCAGTAGGAGCATAATATTATCAAAGTATTGAACAGCCACTGGTAAGCTTAACAGATGAGCATCAGAAATAGCACAGCCAAGCAACGAAAGCAGTCCCAAGAATAATTAATTGGCAAGTTAAGATTTGAGCAGTGTATTAAAGCCTGGATCATCGATTCATTTTTTTTTTTTTTTAAGTTTAGAAAACATGGTTAACCTTTGCAGGTGGAATTAACTTAAATCCCCAAGCAAAATATAAACTTAGTTTCATTACTTTATACTAATACATTCACATAGACATACACACTCAGACCATTAAGAGAGGCAGATAGTATAATGGCTGCAAGAAACTTCATGGAAATCCAGGAGTACTTGTGGCACCTTAGAGACTAACAAATTTATTAGAGCATAAGCTTTCGTGGGCTACAACCCACTTCTTCGGATGCGGATACAGACTAACACGGCTGCTACTCTGAAACATGGAAATCCAGGTTTGTCCAGAACAGTAATCCAAGAAAATAAATAGCATATGCCATCTAATACAAAATCTCATCCCACCAGTGTTTCATTCATATTGAATCAGTAGGAAGAAGGATCTTTTTCTATACACATTTGTACCAAGATCTTTCAGGACTATTTTACATGAGGCACAACCAGACCCTTTCAGCCTTTGCAAAATGATTTAACAATCTAGTGTTAATTCCAGATGAAGATGCTGTTAGCGTATGCCATCACAATAAGGATGATATAGGTTTTCTTTAATGATCAAAGACACAGGTAAATATAATCTCCTATCCTGCTAACACTGAGATTTTAATGAAGACTGAGATCAACAAAATTACACCACTCTGTTGATGCAAGCTGTACCACTCTGTTGATGCAATACTGGATGGTATTCATTCTGAACTTTGATCTTTGCCACCTAAATCCCAGCATGTGATGCACCTATAGGTCCCTTACTGAAAAGTCAGTCAACCATCTCATTATTTGAGACTTTTTTTTGTGCATATCAGAGCAAAATCTGTGAATCATTTTACTTTCCTGAAAATTTACTGCATTCTCGTGATTATGAAACTGAAGAAACAATTCGAGATATTTGGTTTTCCCTGCTAAGAAAATGAAAGGAATGTTTCCCTCCTTTTTCTCCACACACTCATGTTACTATTATGTCTACATTAGAGAAACAACTCTGGGCAAAAACACTAGTTACAATATGTCACTCTTCACACATGTATACATGATGTGTCGGAGATTGTTAAAGCTGTCTAAGGACTTTGGATTTCCAATTAAAATAAATTAAAATGAATGGGAATTGGACATCTAGCCCCCTCACCCCCAGACAGCTCTATATTCACATACATACACACTGGAACAACATATTCCCACAGGCATGATACTGCTGTGATGGAAAGCCACTGAGATCTTTTGATGACTCTTTAAACTAAGGGCTTGCCTACAATTCAAACACTACAGCATCACAGCTGCAACGGGAGGGATTCTCCCAATGGCGTAAGTAATCCACCTCCCTGGGAGGTGGTAGCTAAGCTGAACGAAGAATTGTTTGGTCACCATAGTGCGGTCTACACTGGGGGTAAGGTTGGCTTAACTACGTC